CTACCTTTGGCCAAGGGGTTTGGATGAGGGTAGATAGACTGCTGACAGACGACCAGAATTTTTCACCGACAGCTGTCAAAATTTATTTTGAGATCAACAGAGAATTGTTCTAAAAATAATTGAGAACAGGCAAAAATAGCTCAATAGCTTCTGAATGACAGCTTTCAAAAATAATTTATCATGTGACAGCAGACATCTGCTTAAAATATGACAAATATTTTAGCTTAAAAATAGTCAAATGTTTTTTACTGTCAGCTATCAATTTATCAAACAGACAATTGGCCTTTATGTGTTGTAACTGATTGATAGGAGGAAAATTGCTTTCAATGCTCTAATTTCACACCAACAGACAATTATTCATTATGAAATATAGCTGAGAATGGACAGCTTCCAAAATGTATTGCGAGTTCAACTCACAAACATTGCTCCTGAAATATGTAAATTGTAATTTAAAAAATAGCCAGATGTTTTAACTGACAGCTCTCAATTTATCAAACAGACAATAATGGCCTCAAGCAGGGAAATTTCTTTTATATAATGCTCTTTCTTTTAGATTTGTTATTTTTTACTTCACATCAACAGAAATTTCACTGTAAAATGTAGCTGAGAATGACCTTATGATTGGTTGTTGCTGTTTAACTGTCAACATTTTGTATGCATGACATCAGACAATTATCCTTTAGCAAGAACAGCAACCTAATGACTGAGAACACAAGAAACGAATGCTAAGGCATATAGCCAACAGTTCTAACTCAGGCAGCTGTTAAAAACTGTCAAGATTTTTGTTTGACAATAGACAATTGGTGTTTAAAATGAGTTGCATCCTGTCAATTTTGTGACTGTCAGTAGATGTATCTACCCCATCCAGGCCCCTAGCAATCCACGGTTGATCCTCCAGGCAGGCTTGTGCAGGACCTAGATAAGCAGCCCTTTCAAAAAGTGTTGGCTTATAAAAGCTTCAAAGATGAGACTAGAAGGAATGCTTCCACGAGTATTTTGAACTTGTAGAAATTTTAGGTAGAACTGAGATCGCAAGTGATATATCGGTATTTTACTCTTGAGTGGCATGCTTAAGTGAAACTCAGGTCAAATTTGTTACAGTTTTCTTGAAGCTTGAATGCCAACGATAATTGAAATAGCTGTTGGTTTACAGTAATCATGCTATCTTATACATGCAATACTCTCTCAAATTCCTCAAATTTTGGCAAAAGACAATGTTGTCTATCACTAGTGTCAATTTTCTACTTGAGTACAGTACAATCTTCTAGATCTGTCTTTTTTCCAAAAGTTAATTTTTTAAAAAAATCCAGTCAACAATGTAATTGAAGAAACAAAGCAAATAATTTGACTGCTTTTTGAGCTGTAATTGTCTTTTTTGATCTCATAGAAAGTGCTAAGCTTGTTTGTTCAGTGTGCACTGTCCCAATTCCCATAAGATCTGCAAGTCCTAAAAACTGAAATAGTCTTGTCCCTTAACCCATTTAAAAGTTATGTCTTAATTACAGTAATAACCACTAAACTGAGGAGAAGCAAACAAAGTCTTCCTCCATGCAGTTGAATGGCCATTTCCTACAATATAAGTTCATGTCTGGTTGAACCTTGTTTGCCAAAATAGTTTTGCCGAAAGAGTCTTACTAGATCACAGTGCTTGGACTCTGTCATCAAGTAAAACTGAAAGAATTAGTTTCATTGATGTAACTAAGCGGGGAGGCGCGTCGAATGTAAAGTCAAGTCAAAAGAAAACTATTGATCCATTGTAGAGCTGATGTGAAGATGATGTAGGGCCGATGTAAAAAGTCGAAGTAGTGCCGAAGAAAAGCCGATGTAAAGCCGAACTCCAGTTGAAAAATTAGCCGAATAAACCTGAAAGAAAACCCAAATGGACAGCCTAGAGGGAAGACCCACACCAAAGCCAGGGGCCCAGCTAACTAATCTAACTACATTAAATTATACCGAATCAGAAGTACAATGACTTCTGGCCGAAAATTTGGTTTTAAGGTTCATCCAGAGCTCTATCTAACCCTCCCTCCCAACCCACAAGGAATTCACCAACCAACGTATTTACAATGTCTTCCTTCAGAATCTTCTTTCTGACTCGTTCCCAGTCTTCTCATCTGAGGAAATCGTAAGTATCGATTGACAATGGAAAGGAGAAAAGAGAAGAGTTTAATTTCTTCTTCTTTCCCACCCCTCCATCATCACCACACCTTAAAATGTCCCCATCAGAGTCGAAATGGTAGGAGCCAGGTCTTTACTTGAACGGTGGGGCTGAGGAGAACTGAGGCCAGAAGTGGTAACTGGTGTACTGAAGCGGTCTGACTGTACTGGACAGTAAGGCTCATTGGAGACCAAGGAAAGCTGAAAAAAGAAAAAAAAACATTACTCCCCTGCTGTAATATTAAAGGTGTAGAGACAGGTGCAAACTCTAAACTATTTACAGCCGTAGAGGTGATGTAATTACATAGAGATTGATTCCAAGATATTTTCTCATTTATTCGCACACACATTTGATGCCAAAGAAAATTTTATCAGAAAAATACGGAACAAGCCAGTGCAGCTCTGTGCCGTGGACTGTAGACTAATATTGCTGCAGTGCTGCAGAATTTAAGTGAGCAGGAAAATTCTGCCCAGTTTCTATTCCATCACTTCCATGCTGTTGACTGACTACTGATATAGCAGAATTTCTATAGTGAACAAGCCAGTGCCTCTGTGCCATGGACTGCAAACTCATATTGCTGCAGTTTGGCAGAATTTCAATTAGCTGGACAGCTAGTAATTTCCATCACTTTCGTGCTGTTGACTGACTACTGATATAGCAGAATTTCTATAGTGAACAAGCCAGTGGCTCTGTGCTGTGGACTGCAAACTCATATTGCTGCAGTGCAGCAGAATTTCAATGAGCTGGACAGCTAGTAATTTCCATCACTTTCGTGCTGTTGACTGACTACTGATATGGCAGAATTTCTTTACTGACCAGGCAAGTGGCTGTATGCCATGGACTGCAGACTTGATGCTGCCGTGCCGCAGAATTTCAGTGAGCTGCACAATTCCTCCTAACTTCTTTTCTACCAATTTTGTGCTATTGACTGACTACTGATATACGTGTAGCAGAATTTCTTTACTGACCAAGCCAGTGGCTTTATGCCATTGACTGCAGAGTTGATGCTGCAGCACTTGCAGCAGAATTTCAGAGAGCTGGACAATTCCTCCTAACTTCTGTTCTTGACTATCAGTTTCATGCTGGTAACTGACTACTGATATAGATGTAGCAGAATTTCTATACTGAACAAGCCAGTGCCTCTGTGCCATGGGCTTCAGACAAATTTGCTGCAGTGTGGCAGAATTTTAGTGAACTGGCGTGTTGGTAGAGAATTCCTGATCCTGGCATTTGACTGATACTTACAGTGTGATGGTACAGAGTCTAACTCTACTTCCTGTTCACATCAATCGACCCTTGATTCTTTCCTGTAGCAGAAAGCTGGAAAGTAACAACTCTGAACGCTGTTAGCAGACATAAAGAGCTACTTAATATTAATTTATATTGATTATTAATATGATCTGTCAATGGTTTTGTGAATTTGAAGGGACCAGACAATTGCTCCTGATATTTTACTGGTAGCACAGAAATAACGGTTGCTCCTTACTGTTAACAATGCTTCACTTGCAAATATTTTAACATGAAAAAAAATGTCTGTTCCATGTATCTGACTGACTCAATTGCACAGAAGAATTTCTATTATTATGAACTAACCANCTGATATGGCAGAATTTCTTTACTGACCAGGCAAGTGGCTGTATGCCATGGACTGCAGACTTGATGCTGCAGTGCTGCAGAATTTCAGTGAGCTGCACAATTCCTCCTAACTTCTATTCTACCAATTTTGTGCTATTGACTGACTACTGATATACATGTAGCAGAATTTCTTCACTGACCAAGCCTGTGGCAGAATTCCAGTGAGCTGAACAATTCCTCCTAACTTCTGTTCTTGACTATCAGTTTCATGCTGGTGACTGATTACTGATATAGATGTAGCAGAATTTCTACACTGAACAAGCCAGTGCCTCTGTGCCATGGGCTGGAGACAAATTTGCTGCAGTGTGGCAGAATTTTAGTGAACTGGCCTGTTGATAGAGAATTCTTGATCCTGGCATTTGACTGATACTCACAGTGTGATGGTACAGAGTCTAACTCTACTTCCTGTTCACATCAGTGGACCCTTGATTCTTTCTTGTAGCAGAAAGCTGGAAAGTAACAACTCTGAACGCTGTTAGCAGACATAAAGAGCTACTTTATATTAATTTATATTGATTATTAATATGATCTGTCAATGGTTTTGTGAATTTGAAGGGACCAGACAATTGCTCCTGATCTTTTACTTGTAGCACAGAAATAACAATTGCTCCTTACTGTTAACAATGCTTCACTTGCAAATATTTTAACATGAAAAAAAATGTCTGTGCCATGTATCTGCCTGACTCAATTGCACAGAAGAATTTCTATTATTATGANATTCTACCAATTTTGTGCTATTGACTGACTACTGATATACATGTAGCAGAATTTCTTCACTGACCAAGCCAGTGGCTTTATGCCATTGACTGCAGACTTGATGCTGCAGCACTGGCGGCAGAATTTCAGTGAGCTGGACAATTCCTCCTAACTTCTGTTCTTGACTATCAGTTTCATGCTGGTGACTGACTACTGATATAGATGTAGCAGAATTTCTACACTGAACAAGCCAGTGCCTCTGTGCCATGGGCTGCAGACAAATTTGCTGCAGTGTGGCAGAAGTTTAGTGAACTGGCCTGTTGATAGAGAATTCTTGATCCTGGCATTTGACTGATACTTACAGTGTGATGGTACAGAGTCTAACTCTACTTCCTGTTCACATCA